TGTTCTAGAAAACTTCATAAATGTGCAGCCATCTGGGGCTATCTTTAATTTTCACTTGCATCCCTCCTTTTGCTGATGGCTGCATCGGGGAGATTTGGGGATGCTCAGTTTCATTTCAGTGTCGGGCTGGGCAGAGATAAAATCAGAGATAAAATCTCCAGAGGAGAAGAGTTGGAATAATTTCCTTGGATCCCTCCACTCCCAGCCCTTGCAGTTGTATGCAGACCTGGTGTCAGATTGTTTTTCCCGAGGTTCTCTGATAGCCATCATATGAACACATAATTCAGTGATTTCTTCATGTGCCTAGAGATGTTGCCTAATTGCAAAATCTTTATTGGGAATGGAAGATAAGCTGATACTCCCCTTTGCTGAACCTTCTCTCTCAGCCCACTGTGAATCAGAAGCATCCCTGAAATTTGTTATCCGTTAAACTAATTTCTTCTGGTTAATTAAAACTAATTAGTTTGCTTGAGGACCGAAGATCTCTCAGCATTCCGTGGAACAAATAAATATATCATGAGAAAACATAAGCAACAATTGAAAATTAGTTCAATAGGAATAGAAAATATGTGTTAATGAAGCTGATAATAGGCACAAATGTAGTTGACAGTATCTGGACTCAAGTGTCTGAAGTGCTGGATTTTTTTTGGTTTTTTTTGTAGTTTAAAAACCCTCTCCAAGGTTTTGTTTTGCATAGAGAATTACAATTACCTTGTGAGAGATCCAGTCTTTCTCCAAGAATAGATTTTCCACCATGGGTTTGGTTTTAACTGATGAGTTGGGAGAGTTCAGAAATGGTGCTGATATTGTCTGTGCATGGCTCAGGAGGTTTATGTACAAAGAGGACACATGAGGTTTTATTTTAACATGAGGCTTATTTTAATCAAGTGCAGCCTTTTTTGTTCAGTTCTGATAAGCAGCAATTTGAAATGGAGAATATCAGAGATTCTTTATGCTTGGTGTTTTTCAGTGTTCCTTTCTTTTTCCTTTTTTCCTCTGCTCACAGCCTTTCCTGAGAGCTTCCACAGCTTTGCATTTACAGCTGCCTCAACAATTGATTTTTATTAAATGAAAAATTGAAAATGACGAGGCCTAAAGCTAAATATTGTTAGCACTGGGGATGATTTTCTGTAACCTTAATTCAGCAGGAGAAATGTTCAGCGTTTGACTGGGTGGAGTCCTGTATTCCAGCAGCAGTAGGAATCCTTTACACTGCCCCCCAGTTTTCAGGCTTCTCCCTGAGTGGGGTTGCTGTCACTGCCCGGAGCTGTTGGCTGGGAACACATCAGGAAATGTGAGGCTCTGTACATCCTTCCCTAGAAGAACATGCAGGGAAAGCACTGGTCCAAACCACTTTGCTTTACTCGTGAATTTTTTCTGTGTTTCTGTGTACCACCTTAGCCTAGCAGATGAAAAATGGATTGTGCAGTCTTACTGGAAGGCTGTAATATTATCTGTTCTGAATTTTTGGAGCATGAAGAGCTGTTTTTGAATGATGCTTCTGGCACCTAATCCTTAAAATTATTCAGCATATTTTTCTCCTGTCTCGAAATGAAAAATTATCTTCTGTTTTCAAGTCACTTATAACTTCTACAAATTAGGCTTTACTTTTCAGAGAGATTTCCAAACTTATGCAATATATTAATACAGGTTTCTGCCTAATGAAATTACTCTGAGACAGCTGAATAATTACTGATGTCACCAGAGTTCACACGAGGGTTTTTAACATTCACATCTCTATATTTCTTGCTAAAACAAATCTGCCAATCTTCGGAAGAGCCATGAAGCTTTTTGAGCTGCGGTTGATGCTCTGCTGAGGTTCAGGGCATTTTCATCCTTCCTTAGTGCCACGAGAATGAGTTTTTCACCTGCTGGGGCACGAGGTTTCCCTGGCAACGCTGATCTTGTTCACTGCTCTCTGCTCCTCGTGCACGGCAAGGAGGAAAAGCTCGGGAGAGGCTTTGTGACAGCCAAGCTGGCAAAGAGCACCGAGGGGATCAGCAAACAGAGCGAGGCATGGCACGGATGGGATGGCATGGCATGGCATGGATGGCATGGATGGGATGGCACGGATGGGATGGCATGGCATGGCACGGATGGCATGGATGGGATGGCACGGATGGGATGGCATGGCATGGCACGGATGGGATGGCACGGATGGGATGACATGGCATGGCATGGATGGCATGGCATGGATGGCATGGGCTAAGGGAGCAGAGAGGGACCCAGAGTCAGGAGAATTCTGGGGACATTCCCAGCTCCCAGGGCTGCTCATCCACCCCCTGGCCTTGCCTGCTGCCCAGCAGATGAAGCCCCAGTGCCCTGCAGGTACCTGGCCAAGGATGCTCCTGCTGCAGCCTGAGCCTGACCAGCCCTGCAGTTGATCAGAACGATTTTGTTGCTGTTTTCCAGCCCCTGATTTTCCTTTGTTCTGGCCCTAGAGAGATTGAAGTGGGGAATGTGGCTGAGAAGTTTCTAATGAGTTATCACCAGGTGTGAGGGGAAATTCCTGCATGTGCAGGAGGCACTAATGCACACTCTCTATTCAAATGATTTCAAAATACTTGGTGTAGTATGTGTTTCCTCCCTGAGAAGGAATTGTTTCTCCTCCCCAAGAAGGAATTGCTTGTGTTTCCTCCCTGGGAAGGAATTACTTGTGTTTCCTCCCCAAGAAGGAATTGTTTGTGTTTCCCCCCCAAGAAGAAGGAATTGTTTGTGTTTCTCCCCAAGAAGGAGCTGTTTGTGTTTCTCCCCAGGATCTGCTCCCAGCTGTGCTGCCAGGACACTGGTAGTTTCCAAGGCCAAGAAACTGCTGCAGTTCCTGGTCCCTTTTTTAGCAGTGCTTTTTAAGAAGTGCTATTTTTATGTGGTGTTTCTTATGCTAAATTCAGCCTACTGATTAGAGGGGTAAAGCTGCATTTGTTTTCCTTTGTTAGAACAGAGTGTAATTTGCACGGAAAAGTTCCTATTTTAAAAGCGAAGCAAATCCAATTGGGAAGTGATTTTATTTAAAATGAGTATCTCTACCTTAAGAGTGGTAGTGGAAAACACTCATGTCTGCTAGTGTCTCTGTAGGAATCCATTAGTTTTTAAGTGTTAACATCAGAAAATGTCCAGCTACTTTCCTGTGCTACTTGCTAACATGTGCTTCACCGTGGCAATTGAGAGGAAGGCTCAAATGGAAATAGTAAAGCACCTAAAAAAAGTAAGACTATTTTGTTTGTTTATTTTTCGCTGTATGTAATAGCTTTCCATGAAATGTAATTTATTGAAGTGCAGCTTTCTGGTTGTGGGAGCTGGTGCTTGTGGCAGGCAGTGCTGCACAGAGCTGTCCCTGTGCTGGGGCAGGAGGGGACAGATGTGGGAGCCCAGCACATCCTCTGCTGCCCCAGACCCTGCAGGGGCTCAGAGACCTTGGCACCAAGTCACAAACACCTGTGGCTTCCATTTTAGCCCATGGAAAAAGCTGCCAACTCTGTGTGAGCAATTACAAACCACAAGGGTTTGAGTAGTGTGATATTTGAATTAACACAGGGTGGAAAAGCAGAATTTCGGGGTTTTTAGAATGGGATTCAGGGGGACAAGATGGAGGGATTTGGGTGTGTCCTGTCCTTCTTCTCCTTCTCCTTGCCCTCCATGCCTTGCTGTGCTGGTGACACTTTTCTGTTGGTTTAAGGCACAGACACACTGCCCAACAGAAATGACAGATAATGGCACGTTACTGCAAACGTGGCACAGGCAGTTTTTGGTATAAAATGCAAACACCCCCTGAGGGCAGACAGAATGCCATGGCTGAGCTGCTGGCCAGAGCTCAGCAGGGCAGAGGGAGAATGTTCTAGAGAAGGGAAAATAAACAGCCTTGAGAAGCTGATCCTGCACATTCAGACTCCTTCTGTGGCTGCAGGGCTGGGAAATGAGGATTTTACACTCCTGGGGTCACTCCACACCCAGACCCTGAGAGCAGAACCTGTGAGGGGCAGAGCAGAGACCCCGGGGCACTCAAACCCCACGAGTGGCTTTTAACCTTCACGAGGACACAAGTATTCATTGCATCCCCAGGAGCTGCTCTGAGCAGCCTCTTGTTATCATGAAATTACTGATTTAATTTGCACCTTTGAGAATGCAGCGTGAGCTCAGAGACTCCTCTGCTCTCAGAAGTGCCTGGCACCTCACAACTGGCAACCTGCACAAGGAATTGAATTCAAGATAAAGCCTCCAACAGCTTCCTTTGGGAGCTTGTGCAAAAACAAAATAGCCACAAGTGTCAGAGGATGCTGCTGGCTTCTCCTGAGCTCCATCTATTTTGATTTGAGTGGCCTGATAAAGCATTTCCGCCCTGCTACTTTGACCTTTGGCTGTATATTTGAGTTTTATTTACTGTTCTTTTTTCCAGCGTATATTGCTGTCTAAACACACAAAAATACATTCCCGAGGCTGCAGCCAAGCCCTTGATCTTGAAGCACAGGTTCCTTCCCTTTGAGTGCCTGCATTTCTGACCTGTCCCTCCAGGACAGAGATGCTCTACCCAGGCTCTGGTGCTTGGATTAGAATGTGGCTGGTACTGATATTAGAAAGAAATAGACATTAAATAAGGTGAAGTGTGGGAATATAAAAGTGTGGACATGAGTACACATTCCCGTTGTTGGCTTTTGCCCTCAGACTGCCTTCTGGACACCTGCACTGCTTTATTTCCTGGCAGCTGAGTCTCTCCTCCCAGCTCTGGCTGAGGTGAGGCAGCCACGTCTGAGCTCTTGGTTACCTCACAGGGAGATTTTTATTGTTATTTGTGCAGGCACCAGGCCTGTGGAGCCAGCTCACCTCTCTTTGCTTGCACGTCTTTAATCAGATCATCTGCTGAGAACCCGGGGGCTGTGGCAGAGCTGCCTGGAGCTGCAAATGAATCTGGTGCTTCTGCCCCTGGTTCATGGCAAATAATGGCACAGCAGAGCTGCCCTGGGCTGGGCTGGGCCGGGGCTGTGCCACCTCTGCTTCTCTTGCAGGAGGAGCAGCTGAAGGATGCAGTGCAGGAGGAGAACTGCCTGAGCCTGCAGCATGCCAGCGTGTGCCCCCGAGCATTGCAGCGCGGCCAGGTAACGCACGGCAGCTGTGCCAGCTGTGCCAGCTGTGCCAGGTGTGCTTGGTGTCCCCAGGTGTGCCCAGGTATGCCCTAAAAGGTCTCTGTGTGCTGCAGTGTGGATTTCCCTGTCAGATCTGCATGGCAGAGTGCTGGGAGGAGAGGCTGGCGAGCCCCACCTCAGCACATCTGCACCCCAGATGTGCAGCAGGAGCCAGCCCTGGGCTCTGATGGGCATGGCGTGGCCACTGGGAGCTGGGAGCTGCTGGCCACGGGCACAGCGTGGTCACTGTGGACTGGGCACAGCGTGGCCACTGGGAGCTGCTGGCCACGGGCACAGCGTGGTCACTGTGGACTGGGCACAGCGTGGCCACTGGGAGCTGCTGGCCACGGGCACAGCGTGGGGTACCAGTTTGTCCCTTTCCCAAAGTGCTTCTCTTCTCTTTACTGTGGTTTGCGCTCAGCCTTGCTCTTCCCTCACGAGGCACGTGAAGGAAGGGCTCCCTTGGGCAGGTCAATGCTCCAGCTGGCACACAGCAATGGGCACCATTGCTGCCACGAGGGCTCAGTCCTTTGTGACTCCTCTGACCCCAGCAAGTGCAGCTCCGGGGAAACCTGCAGCTCACCAGGAATGTTTTTGCCTCCTTACTTGCTGCAAGCTCTGCAGAAAAGTGGCCGTGTATGTGAAAATAATACCGGGGTTTTTACCCAGGTGTTTATTCCTGCTTGGTTTTTTCTTCCTGTGAAGGATGCAGTTTCTGGTATGAGCCAAGCTGTAATAATCCTGATATGCATCAATACAGATCTCAAACTCAGAGAGTGATCAGCACTAAGAAATCAAATTTTCAGCTGGTCTCAATTAAAGAAAGAACTTTTCCGTGGCATGCTAAAGTAATTCAATGGATTTTCTTGTTTTCTGTGTCTGTTTATGAAGCAGTCACTGTCACTGATGATTCACAAAATCCTGTATAACAAGACTTGATACTACTGAACTGGCTAATATAGGACCAAATGAATTAAATCATAAAACAAACCTTATGAGTATCTGATCCTTTAAATACCTTCTGTATAGAAATGTTTTAAGGGAGAGCAAGGGGTTTATTGCAGAAGAATACTGATTTTTGAATTGCAGGTACACTGATTTCAAGTGGTAACACAGGCTGATCATGTGTATTTGAGTTTATTCTGAAGTGAGTTTACACTTAAAAGAGTCCAGAAGAAACAAAAATTTGAGTTTTATTAAATATATATATGTTAGATCTGTGCCTCTTTGTATAGCACACCCTTCTCTGAGGCCCTGAGATGCAGAGAATTTAGAAACATGTTGATTGTCATTCATTCTGTGCATGATGGAGTGTATTTGTTTAAACTGACATGCCTGGTGCGTAGCTGCAGTTTGGCTGCCAGACTGCAGTCCCTGCTGAGAGAAAACGTTCTGTGTGTGAGACGGGCACAGCTTCCTCAGTCAGCATTCCTCCTGAGGTGCTGTGCTGTATTCCTGCCCCTCTGAGCCTTTCCTTCCTTCACTTTCCCACGCAGAGCTTTGTGGCAGCTGTGCTCTGCCTGCATCCCTGCAGTTTGGGCAGTAACCCTGTTTGTTTTTCCTAGGTAAAATCAGACTATGACCATCTTCGAGAAGCCCTTCTCAGAGTGACCAAAGAACGAGATTTGGCTGTGAGGGGAAAACACCAGCTCCAAGCCAAGCTGGAGAACCTAGAGCAGGTCCTGAAGGTGTGTATAAATCCCAAATCCATCACTCCAGCCCTGCCTGCACTGCCAGGGGTGCCCTGCAGACCCGGGCACCGTGCCCCCCTCAGCTCAGCTCAGCTCAGCTCAGCTCAGCCCAGGGTGTGGAACGAGAGCACCAGGCACTGGCCGGGGTCTCAAACCAGCTCAGAGCACTCAGAGACCTTTTCCTGGAACTTTGTGGGCACCTTGCACTGCACAGTTATTTGAGTGAAAATGAGAGAGGATGAGGGCAGGAACAAACTGCCCAGATATTTAACTGCAGAGATCTGTGTCTGCCACTCCCACTGGCTGCAAAATATCACTGTGGCCTTTGTGTTCTGTGCCTCTCACTGTTCTGCTTAAGAGCTGCTTCAAAAATTTTCCCGGGCTGAACCCAAAATTCTCTGGTGGATACAGAGATCCTGGCCTTTCACGTTCAGAGCTTTTGTCCCCTAAGCAGAGCCCTTGTGAGCTGCAGAGCACCTTGAGGCCCCCCAGCTCCTCCTCAGCACTGGGCCATGCCCAGCAGATGCAGCTCACGGTGCATTTCATGCGTGTCCTCATATGCCCAGCAAGTCAGGAGTTTGGAAAAACAGCCTGCAGCTTCCCAGCCACTGCAGAAAAGTTCTGAGAAATATTTAGCCTGGTTTCCCTGTCTGAAAAGCAGTTCTGTTTGTCTTTTGAGGAACTCGGGATGTATCAGCAAAGCAGAAGATGGAGAACTGCTGACGAGCTGATTCTGCTGGCAGTGCCCATGCTGCAGGGCTCTGATTGCCTCTGTGTGCAGGCAGCTCCTTCAGCCAGCTGCCAGCACAGCTGCAGGGTTTGGGGAGAGCCCTGGGGGTGAACCTGCACCCCTGCAGCTGTGCTGGGAGCTCTGCCCTGCTCACAGGGCTGTGCTCTGTCCTGGCAGAGATGGGCTCCCCTGCAGCCCCAGCCAGGCTGGGCTGCTCTGCCAAACCCACCCAGGGCAGGCAGCCACTGCTGCTGAAGTGCCCTTCCAGCAGCAGTTTGTGCCCACAACCCTCCCTCCAGAGCTGGAAATCTGATTTAAATCACGGTTTAATGCAGGGTGTCCCTGCTCCTTCTGCACGCAGCAGGCTCCTGCCTTTGCCCTCTGATGCAGGGTGAATTCTGCACCCTCTGGAGCACAGAGCAGGATCTGACACTGCCCCGAGGTGGGAATCCCTGCTGTGTTTTTCCTCTGCTCTTGTAGTTGTGGCTTTCTCTTCTGGTGTGGAACAGCATTATGAGGAGCTCTGGGAAGGGTGCAAGAGGGAAGTGCAGATTCACACATTAGGAAGTTCAAAGCTGAAATGCTTTGTGGTAGCTGGTGTAAAATAGCAAGAGCTCAGCAGTGTCAAAACATGCTGTTCCAGATCTGGTACTAAATCTTGACAGAGTGAAATGAGAGGTTCTTTCCTGATAATTTAAACCACAAGGAAGACTGGTTGGTAAATGGGTGATGTTCATCCAGGTGAGATGAGAATCAGAACCATTCTTCTTGGGCATTATAACATTCATTATAAAATTCCCCATGAACTTTTGTAGAGTATGCCATGCAGAAACGTCTACAGGCAAACACCAAACCCTCCCAAAACTCCTGGAAACCCAGCCACAGCTGAGGGTGAAAACTTACAAAGTGGAAAATGTTGTTGCTGTTTATAATCAAACAAAAAGTCAATAAATCCCAAGCAGAGGCCAAATTCTGATTTTTTTTTTTGCAAACATATCCAGGCTGAGAGATTCGGCCTCCCTGGCTGTCCCTCTGTGCCCTGGGTAATGTGCAGCAGGCAATAACAGCTCATTACAGGTTAGAAATAGGCTTGATTAAATTCTCTCTTGTAGACAATAAGAGATGTTTTGGGCTGTTCTTGTCCATTTTCTCCATGCATTTGTTTCCCCAAGTGCTGATTTCTAACAGCTTTGTGTGTAATAACTCCGTGCTGCAGATAAGGCACTGTGCCTCTGCTCTGAGACTATTATGGGAATAGTATGTAATTTGGAAAATAAAAATCTTTAATACCAGCTTCACCAGGGAAGAGATCAGAATCTAGAAAGAGATCTTTCTTAGCTCCCGTTTATTATGAGGGTGTTTGAAAGTTACAGGGAAGGTTGGGAGTAATATTAACCTGTAATGAAAAAGATTTCTATCTGCAAAGGGTGCCTTGACACCGTGCAGCCTGTGCTCTTCCCAGAACCTTGCTGATCCTGCTTTGAGTTTGAGCATCAAACTCAGCTCAGAAGCTGCTGTGAGTTCTGTGTGGTCCCTTTGGCCCAACCCCAGCTGTGCTGGTTCTGTTCTGCCTCATTTTCGGCGGCTAATAGGCAGAGATCACAAAGGTAAGCTGTTTCTTTTGGGTCAGCATTTGCAAAACAAATCCCAGCAGTGTATCCAACGTAAAGGGGCACCTGGGGAATCGGCAGGGCAATTTTTATCCAGGCTTTAGTTTGTCAGCAAAACGCTCCCTGAGAACTGTGCCTTTGAGCACTGCTGGTGAACGGCTCTGCTCACCTGTGCAGTCCTGCAGGGCCACAGCCCGGGTCCTGGCAGGGTCACAGCCCGGGTCCTGGCAGGGCCACAGCCCGGGTCCTGGCAGGGGCTGATGTCCAAGTGCCTGAGTTACCTTTGGCTGAAGCCCTGACTGAATTCCAGCCCCACCCAGTTTCCCTCCTGCCTCCCAAGGATGCCAGGTAGGTTTCTCTGGGGGCAACAGAGCATCCCTGGTCATGGTGGCTCGTGTGGCTGCAGCTGGATTGTCCCAGTGCTTGACAGCTCTCCTCCTTCTCCTTCTCCTTCTCCTTCTCCTTCTCCTTCTCCTTCTCCTTCTCCTTCTCCTTCTCCTTCTCCTTCTCCTTCTCCTTCTCCTTCTCCTTCT